GACTGGTTATTTATTTTTATTCTTTTCTCCTTTTTTATGATCATCTTATTCATGTATTCATATTAGGGGCTGGATGCCTTTTTGAATGGGGCATGATTATTTCCCAGTTCTTCTTTGTTTATCTGTTCATTGAGTTTTTTCCCTGTGGTCTCATGATTGAGATTGCCTTGCTTTTTCTTTTGTGTGTGAGCTACCTCTAAGTATCTTCTACAGTGTTGGCAGTGGTCATGAATTGCTTTAGTCTGTCCTCCCCCCCAATAGCTTTATTTCTCTATTTATTTGAAATAGAAAGTCTCATATATCCTAGGAAGCCTTAATTTTCTGATTCTCCTTGCCTCCCTCCACCTCCTGATTGCTGGGATCATAGGCATGTGCCACAATGCCTTGCTTATGTGTTCTGGGAACTGAACCTTGAATTCTAGGCAAGTACTTTACCGACTGAGCTACAGCCTCAGCCCCACTTCATTTTGGTTTTAAAAGATAACCTTGCCTTATGTAGTAAGCTTGCTTGATGGTAGTTACTTTCTCATGGGTCTCTCTCTCTCTCATTCTCCTCTCCTACCTCTCTGTCTCTGTCATCTCTCTGTATCTCTCTCTGTCTCTCTGTATAAAATCACTCTACTTTCCTGACTTTTAGGATTTTTACTGAGAGGTTAGATGTTATTCTGTTGGGATTGCCTTTACAAGGAGGCTTTTTGTCCTTACAGACTTTAAGATTTCTTCATTTTGTAGTCTTGGGCGGTCCACTGTGGAGTGTGGAAGGGTTCTTCTCAGGTTTGTCTGTTTGGGCTTCTAGATGTATGTTTGCTCTTGAATGGCTACCTCTTTGCTTACATTTGGGACATTTCCTACTGTAACTTTATTGAATAGATTTTCTGTACGCTTTTTTCCTTTTTCATGTGTTTATATATATGGTGTGTGCATGTCTGTGTTTTCAGATGTGCTTGGGCACAGTGTGTGTTTGTGAAGCTCAAGGTTGACGTAGAGAATCTTCCTCAGTCACTCTTGCATCTTATTCCTTTGAGGCAGGGTCTCTTGGACTTGGAGCTTGTTTATATGGTTTAGGCTTTGTCCTAGATAGGGTCACTATTGCTGTGATGAAACACCATGACCAAAGCAACTTAGAGAGAAAAGAGTTTACTCAGCTTGTTCTTCCACATCACAGTTCATCATCTAAGGAAGTCAGGGCAGGAACTCAAACAGTGCAAGACCCTGGAGGCAGGAGCTGATGCAGAGGCCATGGAGGGGTGCTGCTTACTGGCTTGCTCCCCATGGCTTGCTCAGCCTGCTTTCTCTTATAGAACCCAGGGCCACCAGTGATGGACCAGCCTGACTCCATTTTAAGATTAAAAGCCACCTTGTTACAAGGTCAAAATTAGTTCATTCCTGTTTTCTGTAAAACTTGGGTTTGACCATGTCTTGACCCATTTTCTGGAATTTGACATTTTCTACACCCTATACCCTAACCTCCACCCTAGTAAGATGTTCTGCCAAATAATTTTGAAATGTTCTGCTAAGTTCCCATGTAACCAACACCCTTGAAGAACCCCAGCCTGCAGTTGGGGGGCTAATATAAACCCCACCTCCTGTGTTTGGGGCTGTTTTCTCAAGCTCCACTTTAGGGAGATAGCTCTGTCAGAAAATAAAGCTTACTTAATTTGATCAAAGTATTTGGGCCATGTCCTTTACTGTTGTTTGGTGGGCCAGCCCAGGGGTGGCCTCACCCATAATGTCCTTCCCCCATGAATCACAAATTAAGAAAAATGCCCTACAGGCTTGCCTAAAGCCCAATCTTTCTTTTTATTATTATTTTTAAATTTTTATTTTATGTACATTGGTGTTTTGCCTGCATGTATGTCTGTGTGAGGATGTTGGGTCCTCTGGAACTGGAGTTACAGATAGCTGTGAGTTGCCATGTGGGTGCTGGGAATTGAACTCAGGTCCTCTGGAAGAATAGCCAGTGCTCTTAACCACTAAACCAACTCTCCAGCCCCCTAAAGCCTGATCTTAAGAAGATGTTTTCTCAACTGAAGGCTACCTTCTCTAAGATGACTCTAGCTTGTGTCAAGGGACATAAAACCAGCCAGCATGGTCTTCCCAGTCAGCTTGCATCAAGGATCACTTGTCTCTGTCTTCTGATACCCACCTGGCATGTCCATGAGTTCTGGGGATCTGGGTTTTGGTTCCCTTATCTGCATGACACACACCTTAACTTCTGAGCCACCTGCCCAGCTTTGTGTGTAGCTAGAGTTTTCTAGCCTTGCCCACAGTCAGGACAAATCTCTCTCACCTGCCAGTCCCACAGCCGCTCAGACCCAACCAAGTAAACATGGAGACTTACATTGCTTACAAACTGTATGGCCATGGCAGGCTTCTTGCTAACTGTTCTTATAGCTTAAATTAATCCATTTCCATAAATCTGTACCTTGCCACGTGGCTCATGGCTTACTGGCATCTTCACAAGCAGCTTTTCATGGCGGCGGCTGGCAGTGACTCTGACTCAGCCTTCCACTTCCCAGAATTCTTCTCCTCCTTGTCCCGCCTATACTTCCTCCTGCCTGACTACTGGCCAATCAGTGTTTTATTTACTAACCAATCAGAGCAACACATTTGTCATACAGAACATCTCACAGCATTTGTGCCTTTAATTTTCACTCATTTTCTTTCCCACAGACTTTTGGGCTCGATCACTTACATCACAGAATCCCTGGAAGTTAGGCTCATGCTTTTTAAGAAACGTTAATCAGTCTCATTTCTTTTCCCATTGCTGTGATAAGATACCTCAAGGAAAGCAGCATGTGGGAGAAAGGGTTTATTCCAGTTCACAGTTCAAGAACACAGCTCGTTATGGTGAACTGGAAGGAGCTGGGGGCAGCTGGGCACATCAGCTCCGCACTCAGTGAGTAATGAGCGCGGACAGTACCGAGTCCACAATGCTGTGCAGCTCACTCTCCATTTTATACACTCCAGCATTGAAGACTGGGAGGGTCGCCACCCACAGTTGGTCTTCCCAACTCAGCCTAACCAAACTAACCCCCACAGGCATGCCCAGAGGCCCATCGCTCAGGCCTTGCTGGATTCCACGGAGCTGATGACCAACCCTCCCCTTGACCTCATCTTTCACCCCTGATAGAGCTTGAACTGCTCTATTGGTGATTTTGAAATTGTGTTTTTCACTCGATTAAGTGGCGTTTTTACTCCTAATGTTTCTTCTTGAATTTTTATTTTCAAACTTTAAATTTCTTCCCTGAATTTCTCATCTTTGTCATCGACCTTCTCTTCTATGTGGCTGACTTCCTTGTCCATATATAGAATTTGTCCCCTCACTTCATAAATCTGTTTGCTTTCTTCTTTGAAATCATTATTGTTTTTACTAATACACTTCTGAACACGTTGTCTGGTGTTTCAACCATTTCTATAGCCTTGGATGTTACCTAAGAGTAGTGATCACTTGGAAGTGTGTGGTGGCTGTTCCTGGTTGTCAACATGACTACATACAGAATTAACTAAAACCCAAGTGGCTGGGTACATATGTGAGGGTTTTTTTTCTTAATTAAATTATTAATTAATTTAATTAGATTATTTGAAGTGGGAGGACCCACTTTTAATTCAGATCTTTTTAGGAGGAGAAATCCACTTTTCATCTAGATCTTTTGAGATGGGAAGACCCACTTTTACTCTGGGTCACACCTTCTCCTGGCAGCCTATACAAAGGGCATGGAAGAAGGAAGCTCGCTCTCCTTGCCTGCTTGCTCTCACTCTCTCTCGCAAAATCTCTATGACTTTGGGGGTTACGTTTCTATCACATGAGCTTGGGGTACACACTCAAACCATAGCACCTCCAGTCTTTAAAACCTTTCATCTTACAGAGTTGAAAGGCTGTATCCATTATGCAGCAGCTCCCTGGCCTTCCCTCCCAACTCCTACCTCACACTTACCAGCCTACCCATTTCTATCACTCTGGTCACTGCCAATTCCTCCTGGCATTGGGCCTACGCAATATGGGTCATTTTGTAATTTGCTTATTTCAGGAGGATTTCCTTCCTTTGTGAGAGGATCTTACATTGTTTGTGTGAACATTGGTTTTCCACTTGCTGTTGAAGATGATTTGGCTTGCTTGTCTTAGTCAGGGTTTCTATTGCTGCCATGAAACACTATGATGAAAAAGCACCTTGGGGAGGACAGGGTTTATCTGGCTTACACTTCCATACCACTGTTCATCATCAAAGAAAGTCAGGACAGGAACTCAAGCAGGGCAGGACCCTGGAGGCAGGAGCTCATGCAGAGGCCATGGAGGGGTGCTGCTTACTGGCTTGCTCCTCATGGCTTGCTCAGCCTGCTTTCTTATGGAACCCAGGACCACCAGCCCAGGGATGGCACCACCCACAATGGGCTGGGCCCTCCCTGGGCCCTCTCCCATCGATCACTAATTAAGAAAGTGCCTATCTACAACCAGATCTTCTGGAGGTATTTTCTTAATTGAGGTTCTCTCCTCTCAGATGACTTTAGCTTGTGTCATAAAACTATCCAGCGCACTTGGGCTGTGGTGTAAACGATGGTGTGAACAGGGACATACCAACCGCTCTTCTGCCCCAAATCTCATTTAACTTTTGGTTCTATACCCAGAAGAAAATCGCTGAATCACGCGCAGTTATCACACCATTGACTTCTAGAAGAATCTCCTTTTTTTTTTTTTTTAAATGTTCTTAATAACAGCATACAAGGATTTCTATTTCTCTGTATCTGTCAATCTTTATTATTTTCTACTTTTCTTTGTTGTGGGTGAAGGGTGCTGTTGATAGCCTAATGGTTGGCACCAGCTGGTAGCTCACTGTGGATGTTTGTTTATGTATTTGGTTGTGGAGACAGCCCCTCACATTGCCAGCTTGGTCCCTTCCTTCCCCAGCTGTGGTCTTCCCTGACACTCTGTGTCCCGCCTCTGTGTGAGAGGCGGTGGCTGTGGTACAGTGAGTGTGTCTGCTTTCTCGCCTCCTCTCCAGGTTGGACGAGGGAGTGCCTCCAGGAGTGGAGCTCCTACACCCGCCTGGCCATCCCCAGTATGTTCATGGTGTGCATCGAGTGGTGGACCTTCGAGATTGGGACCTTCCTTGCAGGTCTGTCCACACCCAGGGGAGCCTGCACACAGCCTGGGCAGTTACAGTCCAGAGCTTCCCCAGAAACGGAAGCTCTGCTTCTATCTCCGGTGTCTTGTGGGGTCCTCTAGGGGCTTGCAATGCAGGCGCGAACCCTCAGCCAGCTGTCAGCACACACAGAGGCAGGGCTTTCCCTCTGTTACACCCTGTGGTTTGTGAACAGGGAAAGGGAGGCTCATTCATGGAATGGGAACCCAGGTGTCTTGACTATCTGTCCACCTTGCTAGCTTGGCCAGGCTTCCAGAGGAGTGTGGCTCCATGCCAGCTGTGACCTGTGCTTCTGCTGGAGCTGTAATTAGCCTGCTCTTATTTCTGGAAATGTTCATAGTCAGACAGTAATGGCGATGTTCTGTGGACATGCTTCAGTTGTCCCCAAAGCTGTACACGCTGTCCTGCCTCCCTTCTCCCCGTGTGACTCCGGAGACACCTGCAACCCCAGGAACCTCACCTTACCCTACAAAACTTACAAGAAGAGATGGCTAGGATTTTTGCATCTGGCCTATTCTTGACTTCTTTTCAACGAAAATACGGGCCAGAAGCTGGGGACATAGTACAATTGCATTTTGTAACATGCACGCACGAATGCACGCACGCACGCACGCATGCACCCCTATATACAAATACATATGTGTTCTAGTTCCGTAAAGAACGGCTCCTCTGGTCCACTATTTGACTTGTATTGTCTGAGTTGCTGTTTCAGGCCTTGTTAATGTGACAGAGCTGGGAGCCCAGGCTGTCATCTACGAACTGGCGTCTGTTGCCTACATGGTAAGAACATGAGTGACACTCTGCTCTTTCTCTGTGTAAATCCTCCGGGCCATTGTCACCACATTTACAGTGGTGGGGGGGAGGGAGGGAGGGAGACTTGGGTCCTGATCGTCTCTTTTCCCTTTGTGTGGCATGGGCTCCTCACCTAACTTTTCTGTGTTCCACTTTTTTGGTTAAGAAGGGGAGGGAAATGTAGCCATGTAGCTGCGCACTGCAAGCGAGGACTGAATGAGACCCTGCGCGTCAAGCAGCAGGTTGCCTGGTGTATTCAGTTAACCAGTGCGGAGTTATTGTTGGGACTTGGATGTGAATGTGAGGGATCAGCTCCTGTCCTCCTATGGCCTGTGGCCGGGTCAGGAGACAGAGACAAAGGAAAACCTGAGTGTCTCAGGATCTCACCTGTGTAATGATGAGCGAATAAAAAGCAAAACAGGGTCCGAGATGCATAAAAGCAGAGATGGATGTCTTTTAAACAGGGTAGTCAGGAGTGTTTTTCTGCTCCCTGGGTTAAGCTGAGCCTCATAGGATGAGAGCAGCTAGCCTGGGGAGCCCAGGGTTGGCAGCCGACTGTGGAACCTAGGCTCTGTGTTGGGGTACTACTTGGTGCTGCTGGGGGAGGGTGGAGCCGCTGGCAGGCCCATTTGCTCCCAGGGAGCAGAGGTGTGTGGGCCTGGGGAGGCAGGAGGAGGCTGCTGGAGTCACTCAGGGGAGGAATTAGGAGGGTGCCAGGAGGAGGGACGCAGATGGACAGAGTGTGAGGAAGCAGAGTGGCTACAGAATACAAAACGGGAAGCAGGCTCAGTACAGCAAGCTGGCTTGGACAGCTGCCGGATGGTGCCTGTTATCTTTTGATGCTTTTCAAATGTTGCAGCCCCATGCTGACACAAGATACTCTGGTTGCCTCTTGTTTTCAAACAGTTTATGAGCCATTTTGTATACCTTTTAAAAAAAATCATAAAAGTGAGTGCAGGAATGTAGTGCAGTTGAGAATACTTATCACAGCCAAAGCCCTGGAATCAACTGTCAGCTTCAGACAAAGTGAGTGTGGTGGCACACACTTGTAACATCAGCACCCAGGAGGGAGAAGCAGGAAGATGAGGAGTTCAAGATCATCCTCAGCTATATAGTGAGTTCGAGGCCAGTATGGGCTACACGAGACCTCATCTCAACAAGTAAATAAATAAAAATGAAAAAAAAAAAAAAAAAGAATTGGCTCATCATGTTGGAAAAGAGACTCTGAAGAGGAGGCCGGGTCCACAGAGGTAGGAGTGGAAGGAATCCCGACCACAGGCGCAGGAGGAAGCAGGCCAGGAGGAGTGTGGAGAGGGAGCCAGGAGCGAAGGGGGGCAGCGGAGGAGGTGAGGTCAGTGTGGCCCTGGGTCACTGCAGACCTCTGGAGTGAGGGACCCGGATCAAAGGACTGACTGCAGGAAGGGCAAGAGGAGAGACGACTGAGGGACAAGCTGCCTGAAGCTCGGCTGTCATGGCGACTGTGTGGGGTGAGGAGGCCCCTGGTTTTGTTTCTGCTTTGAAACGGGGTAATGGAGTTGTGTGGCCCAACAGTGGGAACCTGCTAATCCTCTTTCATGTTTAGGGTTCTGTTTTCCCACCTGTTAAGTCACGGACTCCTAGGTTTTTATATTATTGTTATTATTTATTGTTGTTGTTTTCATTATTTTGAAGCAGGGCCTTGCCATCTTTCCAGGCTGGTCTTGAATTCTTGAGTTTAAGTGACCCTCCTGCCTCAATGTCCCGAGTAGCTGGGACTACAGGTATATGCCATCATGTGATTTTTTTTTTCTTTTCATTGTGGTAAACGCATCTAACATAAATTCACCTTCTTTGCCACTTACAGTTTATAGTTTGCTAATGTTGTTAACATTCAGCATTATACAGCCGTTTCCAGAACTTGTCATCTTGCAGAATGAAGTCTGTATCCCTTACATCCTCTCTTCCCATCATCCATCTCATCTCTGGCTCCTGCGACCATCATCCACTTCCTGTTCTGTCACAGCACACACATACACATGCACACACACACACACACACACACACAATTAGACATGGAGAAACAGTAATTCTTTATGGTTCTTACGGTAAATAAGTCCTCCAGGTGAGCCTGTTACAGATTGAATCTGAGGCATTTGCTTCTCAACAAAAACCCAGAGAGTTACTGGAAACAGACAGGCCCAAAGGAGACAGAGGAGAGTTCATGTCCCAAGAGCTTTCAAGGGGAACATGCAAGGGCTGTGCCCAGGCACAACCTGGCATCCTAGACTTGCCTGGCTCTTCCTTCACTGGCCATTGAAAACAACCTTCATCACATGGGGTGGAGTGGGTAGAAAAACTAGGGAACCCATGAACACCAAGACTTCTGGGGCCTATAAATCTAGAGAGAGTTTTTGCAGTAAGTACCTTAAACATTGACATGTAGGGTTTTTGTTTGTTTGTTTGTTTCGAGACAGGGTTTCTCTGTGTAGTTTTGGTACCTGTCCTGGATCTTGCTCTGTAGACCTGGCTGGCCTCGAACTCACAGAGATCCACCTGGCTCTGCCTCCCGAGTGCTGGGATTAAGGACGTGTGCCACTACCGCCTGGCTGGGTTTTTGTTTTTTGACAGCTCTTGCTGTGTATCCATGATTGGTCTTGAACTCAAAATCTTCCTGTCTCAGCCTCTCCAGTGCTGGGATTATAGATGTGTCACATCATGTCTGGAACTAAGAGTTTAGAGTGTAGCGGTGGGGGGGGGAGGTGAAGTGGGGTGGGTGCCTTGGCAACTCAGTGAGACCCTGACTCAAAATAAAGTCAACAGAGGGCTGGGAACGTAGCCTGAAGGTGGAGTACCTGCTGGCATGCACAGACCTCAGAGTTCACGGTCTAAGTTTCTCTCCCTGCAACCATGTCCTGTTCTTACCAAGAAAAAGGTTCTCACCTTTGATAACTGGATGTTGTACGTCATAATTGTCCTTTCACATTTTAGGGCTATCTGAAAAAACTGATGGTAACAATATGCCTTTTATAAATATGTACAGATTCAAGTTGGTGATTCTTAAATCACACAAAGAAATACAGTCCCAGTAATGACCCAACTCTTCCATGGGGCAGTGGCACAACACATAAAGTCAGGCATGTGGCATGCACTTGTAATCCCCAAGGCAGGGAGGTAGGGACAGGAATATTCCTGGAGCCCCAGGTTCCAGTGACCCCTGAAACAAGGTGGGCAGCAGACGAGGAACAGCATCTGAGGCTGACCTCTGGCTTCCACCCGTGTGCATGCACAGACAACCCACCCACCCCACTAAATAAAAAACAGTGTGTGCACAGACAACCCACCCACCCCACTAAATAAACAGTAATTTCTTTGTCACTCTGCTTATCATCTGTCAACGGCTGCTTTTAGTTTCTGAGAACTAGTCTCCTCATTCCACCCCTTCTTCATGGTGGTACAGCATCTTCAGCTATCACCGAGGACACTGAACCAAACCTTTAACGCTCTTTTCTGTTCCCTGAGCTATCTGCTGTGTTTCTGCTGAGATCAGGTGGCCTTTTCTTACTGTCGCCCCTTTGTGGAGGATGCGTGCTCAGCTTTCCTCAGAACTCGGGTGATGTATGACTGGTCCATGTATGCTTATGGGTGGATGAATACATTGATTATGTCCTCTGGAATTTTTACCTTTCTTTATTCTATACATCTTTCTTCCTTTCTTCCTCCATGGCTAGTTGTGTGTGTGTGTGTGTGTGTGTGTGTGACTGGCTGGCTGGCCCCTGGCGTCCTCCTCTCCTCCTTTTCTCCCTCCTAGCTCTTCTCTCTTGAGCCTAGGGTTCTCCTGCTATTTATTCTCTCTGCCTGGCAGCCCACCATTTCTCTTCCTGCCTAGCTATGGGCCATTCAGCTCTTTATTGGACCAATCAGGTGTTCTAGGCAGGCAAAGTAACACAGCTTTGCAGGTTCAACAAATGCAACATAAAAGAATGCAGCACATCTTTGCATCATTAGATATTCCACAGCATAAATGAATGTTAAACTAACATTCCACAGCACTGTGGTTGCTCACAGTTTCTCCCTGTGTGTGATGCTGGAACCTGTTGTCCTGGTCCAAGGCTGGGTACGCTTGCTTGGTGTTACTGAGATACACAGGGGCACGCTCGACTGGCTCAGTGTTAGTGAGGTGTGCAAATACACGCTCTACTAGTCTAGTGTTAGTGAGGTGTGCAGGTGCACACCCTGCTAGCTCAGTGTTAGTGAGGTGTGCAGGTGCACACCCTACTAGTTCAGTGTTAGGTGTGCAGGTGCACACTCTACTAGTTCAGTGTTAGTGAGGTGTTCAGGTGCACACTCTACTAGTCTAGTGTTAGTGAGATGTGCAGGTGCACACTACTAGTCTAGTATTAGTGTGGTGTGCAGTTGCACGCTCTACTAGTTGTATTTAGGTGGAGGAGGGAGCTACATGAGCTGGATATTCATCTGTTTCTTAAAATATCCAATATGTATTTATAAACATTTTATTCCACTTAGCCTGAGGCTTGTTTTTTATTTTTATTTGTAAATTTCACCCTGTGTTAGCACAAATCACTTGTACAAGATAATGTGTTTCCTTGTGAACTCTTCATGTTGCTCATTTGTCTCCAACTAAAAGATGGTTATGCAGACTTGGGCACAAATCCTACATATTCCTGTGCAGCCAGGCCTATTTTAAAAAGTATGTGTGTGTGTGTCCGTGTGTGTCCGTGTGTGTGTGTGTGTGTGTGTGTGTGTGTGTGTGTGTGTGTGTCCTATGTGTGCATGTGTGCAGGTGCAGACACATGAAGGCTAGGGAGAATGTCAGGTGTCCCACTCTTTCACTCTCTATCTTGAGCCAGGGCCTCCCCCCAAACCTGGGGCCAAGCTGGTGGCCCGTGGCCAGCAAGCTGCAGCGACCCTCCTGTCCCTTTCCCTGCCCTACATTGCTGGGGTTCCGGGCTTGCACGGTCATGACTGGCTTTTCACATGGGTGCCGGGGATTTGAACTCACCTGCTAAGCCATCTCCCCGACTCCATTTTCAAGTTAGTAATCTGAAAAATTAATATATAACTCTACCAACTCAAGTTAATTTTCAACATGATAAGAAACTAGACAGCTGCCAGGAGACGGTGCTTCCAGTAGAGATGAGACGCGAGAGCTGGCGTGTAAATCATCAAAGCAGACGCAGCCCAAACGAAAGCTGTCTGTGTAGCCAGGGCTGCCCACAGAGTAGAAGGGCAGCGTCAGGCCGTGAGGTGATCATTTAGGATTCAGAGATGACGCCGGAAGTTCGCTGATGGTCTGTTTAAGAAGCACAGAAACAGCCAGGAAGTGGCGCACGCCTTTAATCCTGGCATTCGGGGGGCAGAGGCAGGCGGATCTCTGTGAGTTCGAGGACAGTCTGGGAAACAGAGAGAGGTTCAGGACAGTCAGGGCTACACAGAGAACCCCTGTCTCAAACAAGAACAGCAAAAAAACATGAAGAAGAGGAAGAGGAGGAAGAAGAGCACAGAAACAGAGCTTGGGGTTTCTATAACCAAGAATTAAAAAATCAAACTTTGGTACTTGAAGTTGAAGGGAGTCTGGTTGCTGTGATAGACTACCCCAACAAGAGCAGCCTAAGGGAGAAAGAATGAATTTGGCTACAGTTTTTGTTTCGGGGTACAGTCCATCATGACAGAGAAGTCCCAAGGGCAGGAGCTAAAGGCAGCCGGTCATACTACAGTTGAGATGTATACAGTGATGAACACGTGTGCTCAACTTCTCCTTCCCTCCTTCTCTCCCACCCTCCCTCCTCCCCTCCTTTCTTCCCTCCGTTCATTTACTTTTGAGACAGGTCTTATGTTGCCTGCACTGGCCTGGAACTCACTCTGTAGCCCAGGCTGGCCTCCAACTCACAGAGATCTGCCTGCCTCTGCCTCCCGAGTGCTGGGCTTAAAGGCGTGCGCCACCACACTCAGCCAAAACTTTCTCCTTTTACACAGTCCGGGGACCCAGTCTAAGGAATGGTGCCACCCACGGCAGATAGATCTTTTCCCCACAGACATGCTCAGAGTCTGGTTTCCCAGGTTGCTCTAGATCATCACGTTGACAGTTCTGTTTGTCTATCCCACTCTCAGGAAGTTAGAGAGTTCGCTTTCACCAGCCTTCACTGAGTCCTGCAGTAAAAGTTCTAGGTGGTTTTCACGTAGTTCCTTCAACTTTTAGAAATTATTTACCTATTGTATATAGATAAATATACCTTAAATCTGACCTTGTAGGTTGTATTTTAAACTAAGTTGTGATAGTGTTTGTGTGTTTACTAGTAAAGGAAGTCTTCCTACCCCACACTGACCCCACCCCTACCCCCACCGAATCCAGCTCTGCTCTGGCTTGCTTGGATTAAGGCTCTATGGGGTGCACTGTACCACTTACTAGTGAAGAAATCGGGTTTCAAGGTGGTTGAGCCATCTGTTTCTAGTCACACGGATCGGTTGTAGTAAGAACTTTCTAGAACCTAGATTGCAAAGTCTGTCTGAAGTCTCCACATGGTTGGATGCTACTGCTTTAACATTCAGGTTTCTATGATTGCTCACCCCCAGGTGCCCTTTGGCTTTGGTGTGGCTGCCAGTGTCCGAGTGGGCAATGCCCTGGGGGCAGGGAATGCTGAGCAGGCCCGATGTTCCTGTACCACGGTTCTTCTGTGTGCTGGTGAGCAATATCTGTGGCGTCCATACTGAATTTAGTGTATTGTCTGAGCTGAATATCTGAGATGGGTAAATTTGTTAAGCAGCAAAGCTTATTTCTCACAGCTTTTAGGGCTGATCAAGCCCTGGATCTAGGTACCACAGGTCTGGTTATCTGGTGAAGTCAGCTCTCAGCTTCCAAGATCTGCTTCATGTTGGATTGTCTTGAAGGGAAGAGCCATGTGAACTCTTGTGATGGAAGAGAAGGAAGTGGAAAAGGTCCCCAGTCAGGCCCTTTTAGAACATACACACACACACACACACACACACACACACACACACACACACACACACACGCTGTGGATATTGCTCTATATAAATAAAACACTGATGGCCAATGACCTGTCAGGAAGTAGGTTGCCAGGCAGGAAGTAGGTGGGACAAGGAGAGAGGAAAATTCTGGGAAGCGGAAGGCTGAGGGGCGAGACACTGCAGCCACCGCCAGGAGAAGCAGCATGTAAAGACTCTGGTAAGCCACCAGCCACGTGGCAAGGTATAGATTTATAAAAATGGGTTAATTTAAGATAAAAGAACAGTTAGCAAGAAGCCTGCCACGGCCATA